GTGAAGGATTTCATTTACTGGAAAACCTTGTCTTCAGACAGAGCAAACACAACAAAACTAATTTTTTAGAATCTTGCATTACCAGGTATTCTCCAGGTTTTTTATGCACAAAATCTCCTAAGTATTAACATCAGTGATCCTTGTAGAAAGCTGCCAGGTTAAAATGGGACCTGTAATTCAAGAATAGAGCTGTATGTAATAATAAGGCCTTTGTGAAATCAGTTCGTTCAGTTACAGGTATTTTAGCTTGTGTAATTATTATTTTGTACTTGCATGCTATATTGAAAATGGAAATTTGTTAGCGCTTTAACCAGCTAATGTAAATGTTGCATAATGAGCATTAACACTTATTGACCTGATATTCGCTTGTTTTGTGTGTAATTCACACTAATATATGGAAAAATGTCTACTGAGCACAATGACTGCTTCAGCTGGAACCTTGGCAATTCTTCAACACAAGAAGAAGCCAATACCTCCCACAGAAATGGTCCAGCCATACTAGCCTTTGACTACAGAAGTGTTTTCAGTAAGTTTCTGAAGGAGTTGTACAATCTAGCATTGTCCCTGCTAGGGTAATTTGTTTTGTAAACCTGTTAGTAAGGCATTGCTTGCTTTTCAAAGCTTATGTGCTTGGAAATTATAGGCACAGCAGATGATTCCCAAAAAGAAGACATCAAATAAATGAGAAGGGGTTGTATCCATTCACTTGAGTATATTTAGATTTATGAATTTGTAATTATTATTTTATACTTCTATAGGCTGTCCTTCAAAGCTGCTCTTGTAGGAGGTGCCAGCAAAGACTAGGCTTTCTGGAATACGGATCTGTACTCAACAAGTGAAGTCTGAACTAGAATTAACTCTTGGAGGAGCACATACACATGCAGATACCAAAACATCCTTCAAGTTTCCAGCTGTGTGATAGACCTGTTTATGTTGATAGTTAGGACAAAGCCATCAAACTGAGGATAGGCTGTTTGGGGTTTTTTGTTGTTTTGTTTTTGTATACAGAATAGTCTTGAAGCGTAGCTTTAAATTTCAGACTTCTAATTACTGTTGCCTGGTGGCATAATTGGAATTTCATGTTGTTGACAGTGATTTGGAAAGGTCGTGTAATCTCTTGGACATCAAGGTACTGTTCTGTGATAATAATCAGCTGTGTAGACTGTAAGAAATAATTTTAATAAACTAACTTGCAGTTCCTGGTTTCACAGACATTATCTCTACCATGTAGTTGATACATTAATAGTGGTGGTAAGTGTTTGATACCTGAACAGAAGCATCTGCATGCCAAATTAGTGACTGCCTGCCTAATACAGCTGTCCTTGCTGGGTGTAGGATGCATCCCATTCAGATGGGTGCATGTTGATAAGGAAGATATACCAGAGCAGCACAGTAACTTCATTTGAAACTGTTGTTTCACCTTAATAATAATATTGATGTTTGCTAGTAGGTTTTTGGTTTTGTTGGTTTTTTTTCCTCCAGGGAAATAATCTCTGGTTGACTGTCTTGGATAAAATAACCTTCTGTGCCACTCTTGCAGGAGGATGCGTTATGCAAGAAATTTTTAAAATTCAAGTGGTGTAATGGTCATGGAAACTAGTTTTTACTAGTGTTGATTGAGATCTGTTTTAAGCTATGTTGATAAAGCCACTCAAAATACATGTCTATTCAGAAGACGGCACACATTAATGAAATCCCGCTCTGAGCCTTTGTCAGGCTGAACACGTCTCTCGGCCTCCCCTCATATAAGGAATGCTCCAGTTCCTTAATCATCTCCAAGCCCCTTTGCTGGCCTCTCCAGTAGCTCCATGTCTGTCTTGTACTGGGGAGCCTGGAACTGGACACAGTACTCCAGATGCGGCCTCGCCAGTGCTGAGTAGAAGGGAAGGATCAGCTCCCTTGACCTGCTGGCAATGCTCTTCCCAATGCAGCGCTGGATGCTGTTGTCTGTCTTTGCCACGAGGGAGCATTGTTGGCTCATTTTCAGCTTGCAGTCAGCCAGGACCCCCAAAACATGAAGTGGTGTGCCTCTCTTGGGGACTGGTTTGGGGTGGGACCCCTTCTGCAGCTGCACTGAAGATCTCCCTGCTAAAGAGGAATTGGTGTTGCCTGTGCTCTGTCCACATCCCTACAGCAAGGGCAGCTGCTTATGAAGCTTGGTCAAACCTTGTCCCAGCGGCTGAGCCAAACCCTCAGTCGGCAGGTGTCTTGTCTGATGTGCTGTGCCAGGCCTTGCATCAGGTTATGTATGACTTGACGGTGTTTTAAGAAGCTAGAATGCTTTTGCTGCAGTTCAAATATTGGCCTTTGGCATCTAGTCAATGTATGTGTAAAGCAGTCTTAAGAAGGTGTGCAGGTGGAATTAACATCCAGAATATTTGGGTTTTAAGTCTCTCATTGAATCCATAGGTCAAGAAGAAAAACGTGTTTACACAGCTAATGGCTTTGGAGAGCGCTACAGTGAATGTATTTCATCTTCTTAGGAAGTTGCTTAATTTTGGAGGGTTGTTCAGATTTGTTATGACGTTGAAGTAAAATACTTCTAAATGCTTTCCCTGCTCTTTGAAGTCCCTTTTCTTCCCTGCTTTTCCCAACCTCGTGAAAAAAGTTGTAGTCTCTTCTGCAGAAGAGTCTTCTTCATGTGAAGACTTGTATTTTGGTGGATGTGGGTGTTGAGATAAATTTTTAGGCTCGGTTGTCACCTCAGTGTAACTACTTCAATATCTTTAAAGAAAAAAGAATATTAGGCTGACAGCAGTTAGTGAGTACCTGTAGCTGGGAAGTTTTACCTAGAAATGATGATGCTTTTGCCTTCTGGAATTACTCCATTGTTTTTTAGTCCAAACTGCTGTGCTGCTTTACTTGGAGCAGAAGTCTGTGGGAACGTGGGGACACTGGGTACACCAACCATGTGTAGGGCTGGCTGACCTCCAAGTGCTTTGGTGTAATGGTTTAACCACTTGAACCATGCTTGAAGTATTCTGTGGTACTTTTTGTTCTCTCCTGTTTTAGAAACCCCAGTTCTTGATGTTGAGAACCTCAAGCTCTCAGCTAAGCAGGGTTACAAGGGCTGATTGAGGCAGAGTGTATGAAGCTTGTTACAAGAAGTCTTTCTTTGCTGAACCAATACTGTGGTGCGATGAATGAGTTGGCCTGTAATTTTCATGTTGCTTTTACCAGGCTACATTTTAGCTAAAAATGGAAGCTTGTGGCAATGCAGATCTTTTTTCTTAAGTAGCTTGTCTACTTTTGTTCTTAAATGAGCTCCATCTTTAATGTAGAATTGAAAATATCTCAGTTGCCAGGATTGCATTCTGAGGCATCTCAGGATGCTTTCAGCATACCTAACTGAAAACTTAACCTGGTTTGAAAAATAAACTAAACTTTGTGGAAAAGTTTGCTGTTATGCTTCCTTACTCTTCTTGCAGGCTGGTTAAAGTAGCTTTTTTGTTTTGTTTTTGTTTTTCTTTTTTCCAGAAGGCATATGAAATCTGCAACACCTCTCCTGCATTAATGAGGGTGCAGCACAGGACAATAATGGTGTGTGTTTTGGCCTTTGCTATTGTGTATTCTGTGTGCTGTTAGTGTTCCAGCATAATTTTACTTGTTTACATTTCAGGTAATTCTTCCAGAATTTCATTAGATTTCATTATCTCTTCAGTGTGGGCAAATTTTTCTGTCAAGACTTCTGAAAGTTGAATATAGTTGATCTTTTTTCAGAACTTAAAATGGTCATGTCATGTGTTTGTGTCTTCGGGGGGGATGGAGTTTGGCCTCTAAGTGTGAGTTACTGTTTTACGTCTAAAAGTGTGTTGTTCTGGCAGTAACAAAGAAAACTGCTTACACTGTGATGGTTTCATAATCACAGTATTAAACTGTTCATCTATAAATGAGCTTGGATGAGGATGACCCATATCCGAAGTAGCTTAACCTCCATACCAGACACTGAAGTGGCTTGTAAATTTTCCAGCTAATAGTGAACTGTAAAATCAGAAAGATGCATTACATGTAAGCATTTCAGTTTAAAGTATATGAAGTTGTAGACTGGCTTTCTGATTTAAGATTACTTTGCTTCAGTACATTCTTGCTTTGTGCCTAGAATAATCTTCCACTGTCCTGATGCAGCGGCTTTGAAGATGTACACTCAGGTGTCCATTGACATCACCCATAGCCCTTGTCTTGCTGTGTAATAGAGACAGATCGCAGATGTTTTGAATGTATAAGCAGTTGTCAATGTTTCAAATCATGGGATGAACTATAATTATTATTTTGTGCTGCCAGAGGAAAAAATTGTTCTGAAATTTCTTACAAGAAACTTTTTCACCTGGCTACAAAGCCAATTTGAATGTTACATCATTACAGTCTTTCAGACTGCAAGTGTGTGAGTTACTTAATGTGTTAATTTTTACTTTTTAGTATCTTTAGTGATTAGAAGTCGTAACTCTTCTAGAAGAGTGTTGTGCTCTCACTTGAGCTCATTAGTAGGAGGTTTATGTAACTTCTTTTGATAAAATAGATATCTTGATATTTAACTGTGCTTAGAAAGCAAGCATACCTCAGGAACAGTATTGAGCAGAAATAATTTCAATGCTTTGAAAAAGCAGATTGGGGGGCACTCTGCAGTGAAAATTAGAGTGTTGTATGAGTGAGGCAATGTTTTGTTACAATCCTAAACTCTCTAATAGTATGGACTTCTGTATCACTAGGGGAGGAGAATTAATGATCTGAGGATTGCAAGAGTTTTCTTGGAAAAAGAATGGTAAAACCTTCTTGACATGAGCCAGTCTTTTGGTTATGTTAGTATTATTAAAGTAATGCCCATTTCCTTCATGAAGACAAGCCAGCTGTTGAAGTTAGCTAACAAAAAATAGTCTGTGCTTTGATAGTATTTTAATTTCTGCTAGATTTATTAAGAAATTGGTGTTATTTCTTGGTAATTGTACTAATTCTGGTTTTGTTTTTTTTTTTTTCCAGAATTTACATGTTTGACAGCAGAAGTTGGCTTTCTACTGTAGTGAGAGAAAATGTGAGTAGAGAAATAAGCTAATTTCCTTTTTCTAGTGCTTGAGAAAATCATACTGTTTTTAAAAAGTGGCTAACTTCAGGTTTTTAGCTGTTAATCTGTGCAAGCCTAAAGTACCTGTTTTCTACTTCAGCATGTGTATTCTTATGTCAACAGGAAGGATTTTAAAATGGCCAAGAAACCTGCTAAATAATAGATGTTAGTGCCTGCCTTCTTTCAGAAATGGAACTGGCAAAGCAGAGGGAGACCATAGATGAAACTGTTTCATCTCAGTGGGGCAGGGAACTGTAATAAATAAAATGATGAGAATAGTTATTCTCTCATGAATGAAAAATTACTTATCTGCCATGTTTGACAAAGGAAGGCCAAATTTCTTTTGAGCAAAGTGGCTCTTGTCAGAATGTTCTTTTCAATGTGTCAGTATTATTTAAATGGAACCTAAAAGTTTCAGGGTTTATATTCTGTGTAATCGTAATTATTACTAAAATTCTTGGAACAGTGAAACCTTCATTACCTTCCAGACTATAACTTCAAATGTTTCTGCCTCTTGTGAAGCCCCTTAGTCTGTGAAGAACATTACTAGATAGCCATGTGTTGGGTAGAAGGTATTTCCTCAGTTAAATTTGTTACTTCTAATTACTAGATATTTACCTGTTTTTTCAAAAAGCAAGAGCAAGCAAGCCCCATCTCTTTCTCTAAACCTGTCTTCTGAGGTGTTCTCTAATTAGTTACCTTGGTCAACCTTAGACACCTCCAGTGTTTTCTTTTGGAGGAGCATAAACTGAAACTGAACACGGTGTTCCCAGCACAGACAAATCATTGCTTTTACTCAGTGGTATTATGATATTTTCAGTATTTTCTGTGCTGTTTTCTATATATAACCTTTTGTTTTAACCAGTGCTGGGTATTAAGCCAATGTCTTTGACCTATTCAGTGCATGTTCTACAGGGTTTTTTCTTCCCTTCAAATAAAATTTGTATCACAGAAGCTTGTGTGATTCTGTACATTTCTTATGTTGTGTTCTTGTATACCTTTTCTATGATTTCTAACTTCTAAAATTATCTACACCTCTTTTTTTGTGATCACCATATCTGGAGATGTGTGTACTTCAGGATCAGAAGGCACCCCTGAATTTTTGTGTCTTCTATTTTGAATCACAGAGATGGGAGAGAGAACACCTCAAATTTGTTCCACAAGCAATTCTGATCTTACTGTGTTTTCTATTGAATAAAAGTCAAATAGGAATCAATATATACATCCAATTAAATAACAAAAAGAACCTTCTCAGCCTTTCAAAGCCAATATGATGTCAAAACATTGGAACTAACGGTGGATTGTATATAATTCCTTTGTCATTGTGAAAATGTACAAGCTGCTGTGCATGTTGCTAATAGGATTTATGGTATCTAATAGATTAGCACAGCTTCATTTAATCAGATGACCTGCTCTGAAGACTGTCTGGTAGGCATAACATAAACTCATTATTTAAGACTGTAAAGTTTTGGCTCTGTTTTTGCAAATGATGTGTTTTGCTTTTCTTCTGGCTGTTTCATACACACTGGAGTGATGCATATTAGCAGGAAAGATGTTGAGGGAACAAACAGCAGACAGCCTATTCCTTTGGGAGAAAGGTGATTTGGCTAACCTTCTTATGAAATTACTGTACTTGGGTGATACTCTAACAATATAAATTTAAACCATCTGTGTTACCAGACTTTGCATCAACAGTGGTTTGGTGATGTTACTTTACTTGTTGCGAGTAGTAATGTGTAGTAAAAATACCCTGTAGCAAAAAAAGTTTGGCCATCATGGGATAGACGTTCTAAATATTTGACTTAATGATAGCTGTGATTTAAAATCTGTGTTGTCTTCTTTTAATCTGTAGAGATTATTCACAGGACAGGCTATTTAGGAGAGGATGGAAGACTCCATCCTTTTTTATTCTTTTTTATAGGAATAGTGTGAGAAAATGAAATAACGAAGTGTTTAGTAAGCATTGCCTCATTGCTGTTACCAGGTAGTTTTAGAGAGGAATCATATTTAACCCAAGAATATATGTTTGGATGAGTTGTATTCAACTCTTTGTATTTCTCTTATAACGTAGGCAAGCATCAGTCTACATACAAATGTGATGATATTGATGATACCTTGGTTTCAGTAACTGGACTTAATTGGATAAACAGCTTGAGCTCTGAAAAGGACATTAAAGTTGTAAGAATGAAATGAGTGAATTTGAGTTCTTCCTTAGCCTTTGAATTCTTCTGTCACCGTTTTCCGAGTAGTGAGCTTTACCTTTAGATTAGAATTATTATACTGGGATGAGTGACACGATAAATCCTTTTGACGTAGTTGAATTGTGAAGTTTTATCATATATGGAAAGTAACAAATTGGGTGAAGTCAATATTTGATTCCTCTGGGAAACAGAGGAACAAAGTGACTTTTCTATGGGTAACTTGTAAGAAGAGATTAGAGACTTGGGTCATTTGGAGTAGTGAAGAATAGTAAACTACCTTGCAAGTACGCATATTGTTGTCCCTAGCAAGACGAGAATTATCTACAAGGTATACTTGTCAACAAGATTAGGGGGAATTAGGCTTAGAGCAGAGACACTTAAGCACTTCAGCCTCTGGAAAGGTCTTGAGTGAGTTCAGCAAAGTGAATGTGTTATTCTTGAGAAGCCTGCCTTCAGGAACACAGTAACATATTCAAAAGAAAGGGAGGTAAGCATGAGTTTGCTACCTATTTCTTCAGAGCTATGGTGATAATTTGGAAAAAAGGAGTGTGTAACTTGAGTAGTGACTTTTTGCATGAGGTTTGTTTGATTTAGAAATTTAGTAACTTCTTTCAAAACCCCAGAAATAGAAGCATCATCCGTATCAAGCTTACAGCTTCTCCTAGAAACCTTCTTTTAAAATGGGGTTAAATGCCTTTAAAACATGCTGAGAAACAGAAATATATTATTTCATGATATTCAATTGTGCTAGTTTGTGATAAGCATAGATCATATGTTGAACAGTCTCTGCTTGTAACTTCTGTGTCTGTAATACGAATAAATCTGTATAAAAATTTCCCATGTATCAAGAGTGAGAATAGATAAAAATATTTGTTTTCCCATACATTTTCCTGACCTTACCTGTTGTTCTTGCTCTTTTAAAGATTTTTTTTTTTTTTTTTTAAATACTAGATACTAGTAAGCTCTGCTGATTTACAGTACAGCTGAAAAGTACATAAGAGGATGGAACCCTTCTTTTCCCCATGGATTCTCTGATTTCTGCCATAAATTTAATTGCCTAAGACTTAGTGTAAAAGAAATAGAGGAATAGCCAAGTTGTTTGGCTGGTTGTCCCATAAATTTTACAGTCTGCTTCAGAGAACTCCTATATTTTAATGCCCTTGGCTTCATTAAGATTTTCATTTCCTGAGTGTGAGTTCAGTCATGTTGGCAGAATTGGAACTTCCGGTTGATGTTGAAACAACAAAGACTACAAAGGGAATGTGGAAATCTGGTTTAAACAATTCCTATGGATGCTGTCAGAAATGCAGTTCAGAGTTTAGAGTTGCTTGGAAGGCATACTAGGGCTAACTTGTAACTCTAAAAGTGTACCTAACTTCAAGATATGAACTTGTCATATGAATATATTACAGATGGGAAAGACATCAAGAGTTGTATGCCTTCAGCTACTAATTGTCATGCAGTGAATATTGAAACATGAGTCCTACCTAGCAGGTGACTAAAGGTCAAGATACATAGAAGCTGCTTTAACGATAGTGGTTGTTAAGTTCCTTGAACTCCTTGCTGCCTGTGATAATGGAGACGGTATCTTGCATGTAGGTGTAAAGATTGCTGTAGTGTTGCTAAACCGTTTTGAAGTTCTTCATTAAAAGGAAGCTTCCCTTAAAACATTAGTGATTGTCTTGATGTGGAGTTCACAAATAAAGCATTTTAGGAGCTTAGCTGCACAGTAGGTAGGGCAGGTTATGTATACGCATGTCTTGCTAGTTGTGTGATAAAGTGCATTTATGAATTGACTCTGAAGGTTGGGTTCTGTAGTGTGTTTGGTTAATTCTTACAGATTGTGAAGGAGTTTGGATTGTTCTGCCCCTGTGTAAAGTGAGACTTGGAAGAGAATGGAGGCAAAGTGCTGAGGCAGAGTATTGTCTTGAATTGGATGTGAGAGCTGCTTCTGTAACAAAAGTTTACATATAGTTACTGTGCTAGGCCTTTCAAACTGTAATGGAGGTTTTTATTTGTGTGAAGACAGACATGTATGTGCTAGTTAAGCTATGATATCTCATCAACCGGGGAATGTGACTTATGTCTCTTCAGCTTCTTATATGGCTGTATAAATGTTACTGCCTCTGTGTTACTGCAGAAGACACTCGACACTATTGGGCTGCTTCATCTGGCTTTTTCATTTGCAGTAGTACCCTTCAGTGCATGCTGTATTAAGCAATAAGGCACAAACATGAAATAAGATTGTATGATTTGTTTTAAACTCAGTGTATGCAAATAATCTAGAAAAAATGCAGGACTCAGTTTCTGTGAAGTGAACTTTCTCAATATGACTTTTTTCCTAGGATCGGTGTTTATCTCCTTAGGCCTCTTCCTATTTCATACAGAGAAGTTTTATTTCATTTAAATGTGAGAGAATTCTATTGCATAGTGCACAAATTCTGGCAGAAATAAATTGGCACTATTTTAAGCTGTATGTTACAGGAGAATGTGTCTGCTTTGACTGACATTAGATTATTCATCCTATTGTATTTTTAAATAAAGCTGCATGTAAATCTTCACTGTAGTTACCTGTAACTCTGCAGCTGGAGTTCTGATGTCCTAAATCTTTATCTTGCTGTGACCTTGAGCAGAACGCTTAAGTTTTGGATTGTAATTTCTTTCTCTGAAATAGGAATGATACCATCTCTAAATTCTTTGTACTCTGCCTGGAGAGGTTGGTATTTGCTTAGTGGGAAGTGGGCTTATGTATTAACTTAGCAAATGGCAGAAACAGGACTGGATATCAAAAAGCTAACAGATCTGAAAATTTGCAGTTTATTCTTAAGAACAGTCTCTAGAGTTTCTTAATTCCTTTATGACAAGAGTAGTGCATACTATTTCACAAAGTGTGTGAACTACACAGGAGCTGTGGACAGTGATGACTGCATGCTAAAAACCTGTAGAGAGACCCAACCATAGAGCTTTTTGTCTTAAATGTAGAATGAACAAGACATCTGGAGAGACAGAAGAGCATTCAAAAGAAAAGAAGGTGGTTATAGAATCATAAAACACTCTTGATGGGTTTTGTCTTAACTGGATTTTGGACTAAGCTGAACAAGCAATCTTAAAGGGGCTTAAAGATGACCCTGGAACCAGAAGAGAGAAAGAAGAGACCTAGTTTCACAATAAAATGAAAGGGCTTTGAAATTGTGTGAATGGAGGTTTTGAGACAGAAGCTAACTCAAATTCCTTTTCTAAAATATTTTGGGTTTCAGAGAAGAATATAAATTTGTAAATGATTATATGAAAAGATCTGACATTTGTTCCTTGAGGTCCTCAGTTTGGAATACTAGCTACTATGAAGAGAGCTCTGACATAAGTCTGGTTACGTGGGATAGCAATATTTAGGGAATGTTAAAGTCTTAACTCTTTTGAAACTTCTTTTCTTTCGACAATGATGTTTGCTCTGCTGCTTTAATTTACCTTCACAATATGTTCTCTGTTACGGTGTCTGGATAAAAATTTGGAAGTTATCCTCATCTTTCTCCTTGGGAAGGGCTTTAGGAAAAAAACAAAACCCGCATGCTTGCAAAGATAAATAAGCTGATTAAATCTTAACAGAATAATATGTAAAGCTGCTAGCAAAGCATTTGCTTCATTTAATAGTAAAGGGTCAATTCTGGCTAACAAAGTGTTCTAAAAACATTCTACAAGTGTTTATTTATAAACTCCAGGTGTTCTATGTAGCATTTGAAAATGGAACTGATTATCTTGATCTGCAGTAAAACATAAACTTCATCAGCATGTTTCTTCAGCATCTTATACTGGTATCAAGCTGCAGAGGTTTTAAAACAAAAAGTTTAAGAACAGCTGAGTTTTAGGTATGGAATGCTAGTGAAAAGGCCAACAATATCTTTCTGGAACAGTGACTTTTAAAGATAAGTTGTATGCTTAATAGAAAATATCTATATGCTTATTATACTGGGAAACAGTCCAATAGTTGAGGAACTCTATAGGCAATAGTTGAGCGTGTTCAGTGACAGTTATGTTTTATTGAGCTTCTATCTTGCTGGCTACAGAGTACAGCAGACAGAGGGATATATGTTAGTAATTTGGTGCTTATTGATGCTAGGAAAATAGTCTTAGAGGGGGAAAATATCTGTTGGCAGCGGTTTCTCAAACTCCTCCCCTCAACCTAAGATTCAAAAAATACTAGTTTTATTCTGACAACATGTTAATGTTAGAATCTGTTCTGGAAATCTCAGGGAGACGTTTTAGCAATTAACAAGTAAAATCCTGAACAACATTTGTGAGTGATCTCCTTTTATCCAGATATCAGAACAACATTTCTCATAACTGCTGTGTTACAGAGAGCGTTCTTAATAGGTCTTTTTACAGCATTTTGCAAGTGCTTGTGTCAGTCTGTAAATACTTAAGGTGCTTATTCTTTGATAGGAGGATTCCTTACTCTATTGTTAAGACGTACAGAGAAGTTCTGATATGTCTAACGTTAGTGTTATCTGCTGGTTCACTCTTGGGAAATTTGAGTTTATACAAAGCTGAATCAGAAAAACACTAATGAAAAAAAAATGCAAAAAAGAGGCCTGGAGGAAAGAAATAAGTCCAAATTATATTTTATTTACTGTGACTGGAAGAAAGCTAAGCACATTCATGTGTGGTAACACCTTATTCTGAAGAGATTTCAGAGAAATATTTTCACCTGTATTCCGGTACTTACAAACCACTCTGCCTTTTTTTCAAGTGCTGTTTGAGATGGTTGAAAGGACTTGTCTACTCTAGTAATTTCAAGCTGTGACTTCTACTAATTCTCATTATTATCACCTGTCTTACAGATTTCTGGTTGTTTCGGAGGTGGCAGTGAAGCACACCTTTAGCACAGGAAAATGAGTGAGCTTGACCAGTTACGCCAGGAGGCCGAGCAACTGAAAAACCAAATCAGAGTATGTATTGTACCAGTGGATCTTGAAGCCACAGTACAGATGAATGGTCATTTGCATGTCTTGAGAAGAACAGAGATGGACAGAAATAATGCATTAAGTTAGAGGTTTTCACAATGTCAAAGTTAATGTCGTGGATATTTAGAAAGGGCAAGCACATGTAACTGCTTCAGGAAATTACTTTTTGGTCTTTAATATTGCTTAGAAAATAATAGTTACACAAATAATGCACAAAATGTATTAGATCAAAATGAAAGTTTACTGAAGTTTTTCTGAGCCAGACCATAACCAATGTTAAGCAATGTCCTGCTTAAAATAAGGTCAGCTATAATGTTATTCAGGGCTTTGCCCACTTAGGTCTTGAAAACCTCCAAAGATGGAGACTGCACAGCCTGTCCAGACAAGCAGTTCCATTGCTTGACTGTCTTCATGGTGAAAATCATACCTTTTTCTCAAAAGAAGAAGAAAATTTCGAAGTTAAATGCTCAATATGCTCAATGTGTTTTGACAGCAGACAGCATATTATGTTCATGCTGCAGTTAAGATGGGTCCTCTCTGGATGACAAGCAGAAATGCTTTCTGAACCTTGTTTTGAGGGTGCTTGATCAACTTGACAAAACGGAGATAAAGAGATGTACAGAACTTCTTCTGATTTCTCTAACTTTATTCTGTTGCAGGATGCTAGGAAAGCATGTGCGGATGCCACCCTGGCTCAGGTAAGCATTTAAGAGTTTAACATGAATTATGAAAATTTGTCTCCTTTAAAAAAAGAAAATATGGTGTAAGAAGGTAAGTACAAGGGAATCTTTTTCCTCCTCTATCAATTTTTTACTTTTGCCTGTAGGTGGTTTCTTCAAGAAATAAGTATGTTGTTTATGTTTGTCCAGTTTCTGAGACCGGTAGGCTTGAGCAGTAGTTTCTTTAAGAAGTGACTCAGGGCACATCTCTACTGCTTAATGGAAAATAATGCAGGGGAGCCCCAGTGTTCTGCTGTGGGTATGGTAGTAGTACAGTTATATTACCGAGATAATCTGAACCATAAGACTTGCTGAGGTTAACCTACTTAGTCATTTCTATATGATGCTGCACTTACGTCTGAACTGCTTCTGAACCTGAGCTAATACCTTTGCATCTTGCTGTACTGTCACATTTTGATCCTATTTGGCTTGCCTTCAGTCAACATTAACTTGGGGAAAGGGTAATCTGTACTCTATAGTACATCTCATGGAGATATGGTGGGTTTTTTCCTAGAAATCTGGTAGGAATTTAGACTGAAACAGATTATTATGGCATTGGAAGAGGTGGCAAGCCTTTGCTTTTTTTTTCCTAGATATATCATGAATCAGTTTACTCTTGTCACCTACTTCAGTCCATTTGCTTGAATGTTGACTATTAATCCTGTGTGTCTGATTTGAGACAGTTGGTACAGAAGTGATTGATGTCAGTTTATTAATCTAAAATGTTACTAAAATATCAAGTAAAAAATGTAATACCAACATTTATTTGAGTGTACGTATCTTGTGATCTCATTTTATGTGAGGCACAATGTTGAGTATTTTCCAGGGTGAAAGTGGGGGCGGGGAGAAGCTTCAGTATTAGTTAATATGAGCGATGTCCACCATGAAAGGAGTTGAATGTCAGGGAAACATCCTTATCTGTTCATCTGAGTCCTAAGCTGTGTTGATAGCCTTTGAAAAGAAGCAGAGGTCTTTGCTCAAATGCACTTGCTAAAGAATTTTGTAATATGGAAGCATGGGAAATATGCAGATATTATCCATAAAATAAACTCTCAAACTCTTGGATTTGTTGTGATGTGTACCACTTACAGTACTGGAAATGTGTTGTGCTGTTTTGTTTTTTTTTTAAACTGGTACTTCTCTCCAGACTGGAGGACTTACTTATATTAAACTTAACAGTGTAAGGACAGCTAAACTGATTACTTCATCACTGAGCTATTCACTTATTCCAAAGACTAATTTTATCTTCAAGAAGTTAAATAAATCAGGAATACTATGAATTTTAATTATCCTATACTTGGAAGGGAAGGCCATTTGGATCTGAAAGCGAGTTATTCACTCATACTTTAAAAGTGGAGACATATTTAAAGCCTAATATACCTCCCCACACCCACCCTTCTGGGGAAAAAAAAAGTTAGTCTACCACATTTATCTATACACGAGTAGAAAACCCAGATCAAAGGTCTGAAATCCTAGAAGTCTAAGAAGATATGACCTAAACAAAGTAATTTCTGAGAGTCTATAAATGCGACAGAGAGGCTGCTTTCTTCATTTGATAAAGACATATTACTTAAAATGATGTAATTTTTGATTAGGCAATTTTTAAAAATTCAGTCAATATACAAAATGTGGGACTTTATTTGGTCTGCATTGGAATGCTCATTTCAATGTAATTGTGTATGACGTGTTACTTTTGGAACTATGAAGTGAAAAATTCAGTCTATGACCATTCCTATTTCAGATCACAGCCAATATTGACCCAGTGGGGAGAATTCAAATGCGCACTAGAAGAACACTCCGGGGACACTTGGCTAAAATTTATGCAATGCACTGGGGGACTGATTCCAGGTGGGTGCTAGTAATACAAAATTGGATCACTTGGCTTCACTGTTCTTTGGAAAGTTGAGTGCACAGGACTCGGTTATTTTCCTGTTCCTACCACTAGGAATCTCTAATTCCAAGAGAACTCGGGCAACCAAGAGAATTCAGAAACACTTAATATCAGTTTTTTCCTCCTAATGTCTATATTTTTGTCATCCAAATCTACATTTGGTGCCAAAATACCAGTCTGCATCTACTTGCCTGAAAAATGTAGCTGTGGTACCACATGAATTCTGAGGAACTGTGGAGATAGAGTAAATTTCATTATCAGTTGTCTTTTTCCCTTAAATGCTTCCTGTTAACTGCTGATGTTTAGTTATAGAGAAACTAAATTATGCTACTATCAGCTACTTTCATTCTCTTTTCTTTACAAGAATCTTATGGCACACTAATGGCAGCAAATTTTCAAACTTCAGTGAAAGAATAGGTTGCTGCTTCCTTGCAGGAACAGATTAAAAAAAAAATTCCCCTTAGGAATTTTGAAGTTACAACTAAGGAGTTTGTAAGTTACAGCTAGCCTCTTTCTACTCAGTAGAGATTTTTCAAAGGAAGCTTGATGTCATTAAAGTTACCTTCTTACCAAATTTGTGTAAAGAAGCTGTGCCTTGTGAAAGAACTGCATGAACTCTTGTGTGTGTGCATACAGTAAATACACTAAAGCAAAATAGCCAAGTGCTTAACAAAGAAGACAGTATGCATCATAAAGATGAAAAATAATTCATGATGTGTTATACTTTTAGTTTCTGAATTGCTTAGTACTTAAAAATCATAATAAACACAATTTTTACTTTGAGTTAAACTTTAGTGTTTTGCACCTTAGTTTTCTATGCCTGTGAAAGAAGCTAATTTCTCATAGATATGTAGAATTCATTGCTTCAGGCATCTTGTTGGCATATAGCTTATATAAAAGATGGGGTTTCAATTTCTTGTTTGGCAAAAGTGTTTCAAGATAGCTCTAAAATACAACTTAGAGCAAAAAAAATTAATGCAAAGAGACTGGAGTACTTCAATGATTGCATTGTATTGTTCAACTTGGAAATGGTCAGAAGAAGATGCACAGAACAAATTTGAATACCATATTGGAATATTTTATCCCAAATGACTTAGAAAATGTGGAGACTATACAGATTTTTCATGTCAGTATACCTGATCTATCTTTAAACACATTAAAAACAGGTAAGAGAGCTCTGAACAATGAACTAGGTACATCGTGTTTCAAACTGGGTGGGGACTGAGGTGGTGTTGATTGAGAGTAAAAATCTTCCTAACGCTACCCCTTCCATTAGTGCTATCTTTGCTGCATTTCATTTCATTTCCATTGTATTTCAGTGTTGACATCCATTCAGGGTTTTTCGACATCTTAGAACTTACATTCTTGTTTTAAAAATAGGAAAAAGGAAAACATGTTGATAGTGTAGATTCCCAAACTCAATGAATCTGAAGCCTGTGTGTAGAACACAGAAGCACTGATTCCATGCAAGTTTTCTCCCTCGGTTTTCAAGATTGAGGTGTTAGTTATATGGCTACAGTTTTTTCTGAAGTCAGAATGTGTGAACATGTAGGTGTTCATCACACATTTCCATAATATTTAGCATTGAAATTGAGTACTTGCAAAATTATTTTTATAGTGCTAATAACTGAATTGGGTAATGCCGCACTGTACTTAAATGGTTTCAAGTACCTTGGCCTTGATAGTGGAGACAAATGCCATCACAAAGCTGTTCCTTCTTGTCTTCCTGCAATGACTGTGTTTACCTCCTGTTTCCTCTCTAGGCTTCTAGTTAGTGCCTCCCAGGATGGCAAACTTATAATTTGGGACAGCTATACTACAAACAAGGTAAGACTAACTGATATGTTGCTATGCAATTCAGTTGTAAATACAAAGGAAGGCAACGTTACCTGTCATGATTTTGGCTGTATTGCTTTCATAGTCCTAAGACCAAATTTTGAATTCTTCAAAACAATAATGCTTGCATTTAAAGAATATAGCAGTGTCTTAAGTGCATTGTGTATGGAAATGTGCACCACAAATGGAAAACAATGAAATACTTAATTCTAGAGAATGTTTTAGTTTGTTTTGATACCGCAGAGACATTGATCAACAGAGAGCAAGAAGTAATCGGCATGTTGCACCAGAACAGTCAGAGATTTAAGCATAGCCATAGTAATTTGTTGTCTGCAGTTAAGTATTGAAAGACCTGACATATATAATGGGTCATCACTTTCTGGCTGTAATCACAGCATTACTTTTACTTTCATATGACAGTGATTGGCATTTACTGGTTATGGTTACTGTTATCAGGGCTAGCAACAATTCACATGTTGCCCCTTTGAGTTAGGTTGACAGAACTTCTTAAGTCTCTTGTGCGCAGGAGCATGGAACTGACTTTATTTCAAATAAATTTTCCTGGCTTAGCTCATCATAGCCTTGAAAACAATTTTACCAATGCATTTGAGCAAATGGCATGCTACAGAGGAGAGAGAGGCAGAAACAAACAACTGCAGCAGCAACTCCTAAAGCTGGGATTATTGTTGAATCCCAGTTGTGAAACTAATGAATCCACAACTTTAGTAAAGAGTAATAATACTGTTTGCAAAATAAAAATAAACCCTCTCGTTTTTGCCCTCATCCTCCTCCTTTGACCCCAGCCTGCAGATAAATGTGATCTAAATTACTGTAACAACTGAAAGATAAGATGGTATACTATGATTTCCATATTAGTATCTTCAATTCTTACATGAATGCTAATTAATCCATGGCGTCATTAAGGGGCAGAGAGCAGCTTTCTTATCTGGGAGGAATGGAATCAGAGGTTGTTACTAGACTGGTAAAATTTTTACTAGAATCAGAAATAGAACTCTTCAGCTGAAAAAAAAAAACCTCCCCCCATACCTCTTGGAAGTATTGATTCAGTGAAATAGCAATTGAGTTAAAATCAAACAAAAAAAACCCCTACCCTGCCCCCAAAAGAAGTAAAAAACAACAACAACAACAACAACAAAAAACACCAAAAAACCAAACCACACACCCTCTGGAATTATAGGTAGCAAACAGCTTGGTGTTGAAACAGTATTAAATTTGACTACATAGCACCCAGAAGCAGGTAATGCAAAAATACTTGAATGATAGTCTGCAGATGTTCTTTTGGCAGTTGCAGCACACATTGGAAGTAACACAATAGTCATAAATATGATATTTTCCTAATGATAAAGTAAAATGCCTCAAGGTGAATATTGCGATTAATTCCTTGGTAGAAGACTTCTCAAAATGAACTGGTTGTGTTTTTAGTGCAGGCTATTGTTTTTTAACTGCTGATTGCTGCAGGATCACTGATTACTGTAGCAGCAGAGGAACAGACAGTAATCTTCACTGTTTTCTTAAGAAATGCAGGAAGATTGTTAATATTGCATGAAATCTCACAATATATATAAGGATATGATCCCTTTTTTAAAGATGTTATGAACAAATTTGAGGGATGAATGCAACAAGTTAACAAGACAGAACAGGTTTAGCTTCAATAATTTTAAAAATAAAGTTCTTTGAGCACAGAATGACAGGGAAACATGGGGTAGTTAAATATGAAGCTTGATTGCTTGCAGTGGGTTTCCAAAGAAGGATTTAAATGGCAGTGAAAGTAGCGATTTCCTTACTTGCTCATTCATAGCATAGCATCTAAGCCTGGAATCAGCAGTGTTGCTGACTGTACTTGGAAGTCAATATTTTCCTGAACCTGTAATAGTAATCAGAGCACTGAAATGAAGTAATTTACTTTTTACCAAAATTGCTGATTAAACTGAATTCAGGAAAAGCAAATCTGAGGTTTTAATTACGTCATTACTTGGTCTGATGAGCTATATATGGAAGTTACCCTCAAAATAGTTTGATACTCAAACAACCAAAGATGACTTTTTTTTTCTTCACTGTTTTCTTCTCGTCCTTTTGACAAAAAGATGATGTATGGTTTGAGAGACAGGTGAAAAATCTCCTGATGGTAAATTAATGAATCAGTTGTTTTGTAGATGAAATACATTAATCTATCGATTTCAGGTGCATGCTATTCCCCTGCGTTCATCTTGGGTCATGACTTGTGCATATGCTCCTTCTGGAAATTATGTGGCTTGTGGTGGTCTTGATAACATCTGTTCCATTTATAACTTGAAAACTCGTGAAGGGAATGTACGTGTCAGCCGTGAACTAGCTGGTCACACAGGTGAGTGCCTGCTCAGAATGATCTAAGTTACCTAAGCACATGGTGAGGATTTTTTTTTTTTTTAAAAAAATCTTTTAAATATGATTTCCTAATTAAAAAGATATACTTCATTGTGCACCTTTATTTGTTGGGGGGACCTTAGCTGCATGTTACCTGTTTTTAAATGGCTTTTTCTCCCTCCTTTTTAAAAACTTTTTTTAAGGATGATACCCTTTGAACAAAAGAAGTGTAATAAGAATGTGTTTTTACTTTTCATAAGCAAGACAGCTGCCTTCTGATAGAGCTATTCTTTAGTTGCAGATGTTTGAGTTCGCGTTGCTTCCTCTTCCGTTTCTCCTTCTCTCCCTTCACCCCAAAATACAGTAGCTTAATTTTTACCTTCAGTTTCTGTTTCTAAGGTGGACTGTCTTGTGATTGATGTGAAGAGACAGCTAGACTTGTAGGCTTTGCCTGGTGAATTAGGATGTAAACTGTAGCTGCAAAGTTCTCTGAGTGACAGATGAAGCAAAATTCGTCTAGTTAGGTAAGCAGGATTGTAGAAACATAGGTGTTAAAGTTTTTGAAGTGAGAAAGTCCCTCATGGTGCTTAAAAGCTAGTGTTTTAAGTGTCGGGGATGAGCTGGAAAATTTTTCTTTCTGAACAAACCAAGAGACTCAGTGTCACAAGGTACCTTTAAAAACAAATTCAGTAGCTGAAGATATTCTTGCTTCCTAAAGAATGTACAGTTAACGGAGATGAGCATCTTTTATAAGCAGGAGTAACCTAGAAAATGTGAACTGCTTCTGTATGTTGTCTGGTAATGGACAGATTGTATTTTTATTTTTTTTGTGAATGGGATTGGAAATTTTTTAGAGGAAAGCTGGGTGGGTGGTTTCTTGAACTCCATTGAAAATTAAAACACTGGCTATTTAGTAGGCACTCTGGTATCTTGTAAAGTACTAGTGTAGTGCTGAGCCTGTCACACACATCAGAGGTCTTCTGCATTCTTGCGGAATCAGTAATACCTCCAACAATCCGAGAAAAGGAATGGACTGTAATTAGGCATTTCTCCTAAAGCTGCAGCTCTGAAGCTGCGTGTCGTCTTTATGGTCTCTTGGTTTCCACAAAGAGTGTAATCCAAAACACAGCAAAACAAAGGTAGATTGCTCTAGAGGCTGTCAGCTTGGCTCCAGAGAAAACCTCTAACAGTTCTTTAGAGAAAATGTCAGGTGGGCTCTGTGCCCTGCTGGTTTTCTGCCTGATCAAGCCTCTAACTATACAGAGTAAAGAAAATGGTATAAAGACTGTTCATTGAAGGAAAATAAGGTTACTCAGAAATAAATAGTTATATATTAATGAATTTTTATACAGAAAAAGTTAAATGTGAATTAAAGTACACCTAGTGCTATTTAATTTTTCTTTCCACTGTTTTTCTTACAAAGCATGATTTATGAGATTTAGAGGAATTGTGTACCCTCTGGGTGTAGTTAAGGGTGTGAGAATGCAGTGTTGATTTGACCTTCAGATGGTGGTTGTGATGTGACCAGTAAAGTGAATTCTAAGAAGGTACTCTTCTGTTCTCTAGGGAGGGGCCTCCCTCCCACCCTTCAGGACACAGGGAAAATTGGAGTGATGTTTGGACACAGGGAGCTTTGGTTTTCAGTATGTGGCCGTGTGTGTATCAAAATTCTGAAAAATATTTTAGCAATAAAAAGAGCATTATTTCTATGATATTCTAGCTGCTTAATGGTCTTTATGGTTATAAACTGTATAGCTGGGAAAACATGGATTTTTACATAACACGAGAGGCAGAATTTTGCTGTAATGCAAGGGATATCAAAGGAATACATTTGAGACCTGACCAGTTTGTGTGGAATCTTCTCGAAGGAACAGTTTTAATGAGCTGCCTTTCTGTTGCAGAAGTGAACAAAGCCTGTAGCTAGAAGCTGATGTTTACAGGTTTTCATATTTTGCTGTAGTTTGGATTTTCAGAAGATGTTTGTGCTTTGTGAAATAGAGGTTGCTGGCAGGACAGACTAATTTTGTAATCAGGGTTGTTACATTGACAGTTTGGCATGTGGTGCTTCAGTACAAAGATGCTTCAGAGCATTCAGATGAAATTCTTTGATGCCACTGTTGGGAAACCTCCAATGTATATGCTTTGTTCTTTGTGCTGACCAAGAATGAAGTTTATTTTTTCTCAATAGTTGTATGATACAGTTGAGGTCATAGGCGTTTGTTCCTCCTGGATGCAGTGACATACAGATCCACCTTCTAAGAAAGTCTATTGTGTGCAGTGCAGGGTTACCTATACTTCTCTCCAGCTTGGCCAGTGGATTCCATGCTTTCGCCTCACTATTCCCTCTTTCTCTTCCTCTTCCTCCTCTCCCTGCTCTCTACCAAAAGAAAAAAGTGTCTACCCTGTTTGGTTAAGCTGCTTAAGTTTATTTTCTTCTCCGTTACAAACATCTTTGTTTAGGTCAACTTGCTGTGATACCAGTGTATCACTGTGCTAGTGTAGAGGTTGAATTGGGCATGGAAGAGCCAAAATATGTCTTGTCCAAAATGTTGGAGGTTCCTATATAAAAATTGTCTGTATTGTATTTTAGGCTTATATAATAGTTCTTGCTTCATCCTCAGGAGAGGAGGAAGCAACATATAAGCAAGCCAGTATGCAATATGAAGAGTAATCTCTGGTCTTATTCATCAACTTTTAATTTTGCTTTCAGGATACTTGTCATGCTGTCGTTTCTTGGATGATAATCAAATCGTTACTAGCTCTGGCGACACCACTTGGTAAGCAGTAAAATTTTGACATGATTGTTAGTAATGACTTTTCACAGCTCTACTCTATTATTGAAGGAAACTTTATTCTTTGTAAACCTAATAGTCATCCAGAAGACTAAATGTGATTAATTATTGTTCGTATGTCACGTTTTTACTAGTAATGGAAACTTGGTCTTTCAAGTTCGTTAGCTTTGGCTGTTTAGTTATATGCCCATCTTAGTTATATGTTTAGTTATATGTTCTGAAGAGCCTGACCTAATTCTCTGTGTTAAGATGGTACGGGAAATATTTTTTTACTATAACTATTTGGCTTTCAGAAACAAGTGTACTAGACTAATGACTTTTCTCAAAGTTGTTTAGTATGCAGTATTTATTACTTAGAGTCATATCTGGATTTTTCTAATACAGAATTTAGTTTATGTTGCTATTCAGAAGAGCTCCTAGAAAATATTCTGCAGTGACAGCAGGTGGGTTTTTTGAGGAGAATGTAGGTATAAGTCTTAATAAATATTAGCTTCTGAAAGACCTCAATCTTTTTTCATAGATTTTTCTATTATATCTAATTCTTAAAAGCATGACAGCTCTCCGAAGCAGCAGTTCTTATAGCAAAGGTTGTCTAATAAATACCTCTCCTACACAGCGTCAGTCTCTTTGAATGCCCATCTATTAGTCCACTGATTCTGAGTAGCTATTGAATATATATGTTTGGTTTTTATAAAAAAGTGTTTCTAAATATGTGTTGCTGGTTTTTTTTTCAAAAAAAAACCAAAACAGGGTTTGTTAAGATTATGCTCTTTATATGCTCTCTTATAAGAGAATACAGGTGCTTCAGGAGTTATTGTAGTAACTCTACAGTTGTCTGGATAACAGTTTGTCCTTGTCATCACTTCAGTTCAGCCAAGCTTCAAAGTACAGTATCAAAGTACAGTCATCTCTTATTTGCCTAGTGCAAATCTGCCACTGATGGGTCTGGTTTACTGAGAAATTACAGAAATTAAAAATCCTTAATCTTCCTTAAATGTTTAGACCTCTTGTTAGGGAGGTGATAGTGTTCCTTCATCCTTTTATACTCTTTGATTATCACTGTAGTAGTGATTTTGGGTAAGTGTCTTGGGAAAGTGGTGCAGCTTTAAGATGACAGACATAATTCACAAAGTTACACATCCTCAGTGAGTTTTTAAAAATGAGAAATGCTGAGTCAGCTTTTACTGTAGCCTTACCACTGCTGCTTTAAATCAACCTTGTAGTAGTACTGGACAGTAGTCATTGGCATGTCACAAGAACTTTGTGTATAAACAGCTGTGAGTATTAGTTGTTAGTTTTTTGCACTGTTTTTCAATTTAAACCCCCCAATATTTTAAAATTGAGGATGGCTTTTAAAATCTTCTGTGCGCAATTATCCTGTAACATAGCCAAATAGTTCAACAAAGAATGTTTGTTTTTTCTACTCTCAGTATATTTTTTGTTAATACTTTATGGAGTTTTACTTTTTAGCAGTGATATAAACGAACAGGTTTAGACAAGAATTGCTGTCTAGACCTTCTAATGGAGCACAAATGTGTTGATTTTTGCCTTTTTAATTATTCTTTCAAGCGCTCTCTGGGACATAGAAACTGGTCAGCAGACAACTACATTTACTGGGCACACTGGAGATGTCATGAGTTTGTCTCTTGCTCCTGATGCCCGGTGTTTTGTTTCTGGTGCCTGTGATGCCTCTGCCAAACTGTGGGATGTTAGAGAAGGAATGTGTCGGCAAACCTTCACTGGCCATGAGTCGGACATCAATGCCATCTGTGTATGTATCAACTTGAACCGAGGACATGGGATTTAAATTTAAATTTTTATATTTCTCTGGTCTCAGCTCTTAAGCATGTACTGTATGATGTAGTATTATGGCATATTTTCTTTAATTAATAGTTTTTGTATGTGGGGAAAATACCTGAAATTTGTACAACTTCAGATCCATTGTGGTCAATGGAAACAGTGGCTGTTAAAATAGTGTTTCTTCACATGCTCTTAATTACTTCACTGTGTTTGCCCATATCCCAGTAGTGGAGAGGTGTATACTCTTCTTTGCTGCTTTCTTTTTCCACTTGGTCTGTACAAAATGATATATTCAATGAGACTGAGGAATCAAGTCTGAAATCATGTGTCTTTTTTCCTCCCACCCCCCCTCCCTCATTAAAGTTCTTCCCAAATGGCAATGCATTTGCCACAGGCTCGGATGATGCTACGTGCAGGCTTTTTGATCTTCGGGCTGATCAGGAACTTATGGTTTATTCACACGATAACATCATCTGTGGCATCACCTCTGTAGCATTTTCCAAGAGTGGACGTCTCCTCCTAGCTGGTTATGATGACTTCAACTGCAATGTCTGGGACACACTGAAAGCTGATAGAGCAGGTAAACATTTTTGGTTTTAAATATTATAAACACAGTGTAACATACAGAATGTGTGAGTTGAGTCATATGCACAGACCTATTAGCATTCCCTGTCTCAACTTTAAAACTCTGTGATAACCTGTCTTAGGATAACCAATGGTGAAAGTAGCTTAATGATGTTAACAAATAAATTGGAATACTTCTAAAGGATAGAAGGGAATAATGGATGCTTGAGAACAGGAAGACTGCCATTAAAAAAGAGGTTTTGGGGGTGGAGGGCTATTTTTTTTAGACTTTATGGCATTGTTTATGTATGAACTGTTCAAAGCAATTCAACATTAATGTTGCTGTTTATATAAAAGAAATTTTTTTTCTGATATTTGTAGCAGTAACTGTACAGACAACCAGCAAAACAACAAACACTGCAGAGATTATCTTTTGAGGAAATGAATGTGAAATTTATGGTCCAAAGATTAAGATAATTTAACTTCAGTTCTTTAAAATGAAAACTTGTATTAGAAAAAAGGAGAAAAGGTATAAATTAGGCCACAAATGTTTTCTTATTCTCATCAGAACAGAGGATGAGAACAAAGACCTACTCTGTTACCAAATTAAGTGATCTAGGCTTTTAAAATTATCCTAGGTGGGTTTTAAAAGCAAACAAAAAACACCAGCCAAGCAGAATATTCTTCCACACGCAGTTGAAAGGATTAGTTGCAAGTACTTTATTTGGTCCAAATTGACTCATTGCTTTGAGGGGAGGATATACTGCAGGTGGAAAAGATATAAACAAACACATAATCCTGAACTATACCAAAATAGTTTCCACTGGGTTTGTTAATTTCTGTCTCTAGCAACTTTGTTTTACCACTCAGATTTTATTCTTTGTTTCTTCCAAAATTCATGATAGTTTGTATCAGTGCTGAGAAGTTGAAAATGTGGACACTCAGTTCACACATTGTAAAATATAATTTGGTTCTATTTGCAAGTTAATGGTGCCAAATACAATTATTATAACATAATGCATTATATTGAAATGCATTTTATGAATCAGCCTTGTCTTGTGTTGAGGTTTGCAACTTGAGATTCTTGTACTTTGATTATTGAGACCATAAATGTGTATATAAGCCTGTATGGAGATAAATTGAGAAATTTCTCTTGATTAATGTCTAGGTTAGTTTACAATTGGCTGTGTTTAAGTACTGTAAAAACAATTATTTGGTTTTTCCTGTTCTTTCTTTGAAAGACCTTCATTAAAAAAAAAAAACAGGAGGTGATGATCTTACCTGTAGAAATGAGAAACAATTCTTTATACCCATCTGGGTTTACGGTCCATGTACTCATGAAGTGTGACTCTTTATTGCCAAGTTTTAGAACTGATTTAAACAACTACTTTATCAAGTATTCTGCATATTGAAATGTTCTGAGACTTAAGATTGCTGAGCAGATTTGACACTTCTATCGTGCCTAATTCTGTATTAAACACCTTTGTGGTTATGTATTCAGTTCAAATTGTATAAAACTTCTTGGCGCACTCTTTACCAAATTGCAGCACTTACTAATGTTGAAGATAGACTGAATTTTGATATATTAGTGCTATTTCCACAGTAAATTCTAGGTAATTCCTAGGTACTTTTGTTAGCTCTAGCAGCTGTGTTGCACTGAATTTCTGAAGATTGTATTGTCTGCTTCAACACTTACAACTTTGCTTCTGCTGCAGAACTTCTGCAATTCTGTGCCGAGGCTTAGACACTTGTATGGATTTAATAGGATCTGGAGATTAATGGTGTTACTCACACAGCGTTACTGCTCTTATAAAATATATCAGAAATGTTACTTCAAACATCAAGAACCCTTGTGTATGAAGTAGTCATTTTTACACTGAATTAACAGTTAAAAATATTAATTTTTAAAAATAGTTGTTTGTGTAAGAACTAAAACTGACTTAATTCATGTTCTTTATTGGACAATAGTAAATGGAGGGGAAAAGCCCAAAATATGAATGAGGAGAGTCCTATGAGCAGTGTAATTGATGTGGAAAGATTAATTTTAAGTCTATCAAGAATATCTTAACTCAGTGCTGTGGACTGGAAAAAACTTGAATGTAATTAGGTTTTCTTTTTACCTCTTGAAACTGTTAAATTCAAGGGGATAAAGGAAAATGTTGGCTTTCTTAATTTTTCTGTTTAGTGTCTCAATTCTTTTTTAATGGTACTAAAATTGAATTGTAACAGATCTCCATATTGACAAATAGATTGTATGTAGGAGTTTAAATCTTGTAAGTGCTTGTAAACATAGTAAGATAAAATTAGATGAAAAATGCTTTAGTGTTCATAACATAATTCAGTTTAACTTCTGATTTTACAGATTAAAAAATTTTGTAAAATCTAACTGATCTTTATCACTACGGAGAGGAAATACTAAGAGCTATGCAATGCATGGTTATACTATATTTATTGCTATGACATTGTCAGCAGAATATTTGGGGCTGTGATTTCACAACTCACGAGAAACCAGTAAAGGTCATAATGTGGGGAATATACAAGGAAAATTTTGGAGTAATGCATTTACTGAATTACCCCATTGAGAACCCACCCAGTTACATCTAAGTTTGTACTTATAAAACCAAAAGCATTTAAAAATTCCAACCATGTTTGTTCAGGATTTTTGAATGTATGGGTTGACTAAACATGTGTGCCTCAGTGTTACTTGAAGTGAAATATGAAATCATCAAAGTAATGTAATATGTTTGTTACATGTTCTTATTTATAGGTGTCCTTGCTGGTCATGATAACCGTGTCAGTTGCTTAGGTGTGACTGATGATGGTATGGCAGTGGCAACAGGATCATGGGACAGCTTCCTCAAGATCTGGAACTGAAGTAGGTAGGTATCCAGTTAATTAAGGCTGTCCTGGTTTAGTATTCAGAATGCTTTTTCCAGGTCCAAACAGTGCTGTTTTACTGATGCTGCAAGCTTATAGTTCAGATTAGGAAAGTCATTGAGAAAAAAAAAAAAAACAGTCAGGTTTTTTAGAAGGCTATTTGTTTAATGTATGCAATGACATTTTTGTGATGAACTACTTTTGGCGTATTTTATTTTCCTGGTAGGGATGACTGTATGGTCTTTTGAATCTGGGTTGGTAAATAAATGGCGTTCTTAAAAATGAGATAACTGCTAAATGCATTCAGCGGGTAGCAAGAGCAAAGCTTGAAACTTGATTGCAGTTTATCAAAGTGCAACTCTTAATAAATCTTTCTGTGTGTCAGAAGAGCGGCGGACTCCATGACTGGAAGAAGTTTCCAACGGTTGAAAATTAAAAATGATAGCATATCCAATCCAACCATACTAACTTGGACCCCCATCCTCCCCAACTTCAAAGGGCAAGATCTTTTCCGTCTCCTGTTGCTGAAATGAAGAGCACAATTACCTTTCCAAGAAGAATTTCTGTGTTGTAAGCAAAATGAAATTGTGCATTCCTTTTGGGACCATTTTTTTTGTCTTGAGAATTTAAAAATGAAACACTATCATAAAAGCATGACCAGAAAATAAACTTGAGCATAATTGTGAAACAGTTAGCTTTCACTGTAGTTTCCAAGTTGAAGTTAAGGACTTTATCTCACACACTTGCAAATTTTAAAGTCATGTTTGTAGCAGGATTTTTTTCAAGTTTCCTTTTTAAATACATTTCTTTATGTATTTAATTGAGCAAAACAAGGGAGTCCTAGCCCAGAGCATCTGGGGGTTGTTAACGCTGTAAATTTAGTCCCTAATTTTTTTTTATTTTATTTTCTAGTATCACAGATAATTGTTGCACAAAACTTGGCATATATAGGATAATGTTAAGCAGTAAGGTAACCAAGCACATGCTGTAAAAGGTAATGAATGCTTGTTTAAAGAATCCTTTCACCTTTTATGGATAACAAATGCAATCCTTGGTCCCTCCTGCCCCCCCCCTTCCCCTGCCCCCCCCCCGTCCCCCCCCTTTCCCCACACTGATTTTTTTAATCTGTTTTGGTTTTGTCCGCTTGAAAGGGCAGTTTATATATCCTAACACTATCCTATAAGTCTCAACAACCAGGAATCTCTGTTTTCAAAAGAGACCTATCCTACACTTGGGTATTGAGTCAATTCTTTGTGTATGAAATGATGTACAAATCAATGTTTTGAAAATAATGATCTTGAACTTTCTAAGTTAAACAAAAAAAAACCTTTTTTGATTGTTTGCCATATTGGGTGGGTTTACTCTTAGAATCGCATGCTGTAGAAATGCTAAAAAGTGCATATTGGACTAAGTCCTTAGATGTTTTTTCTTTGAAGAAATAACCTGTTTAAAAACTGTAACCATTGTCGCTGTATTCATTTATTGTTGCTACTCTGTGCATAAATCTATGAAGAACTCAAGTACAAAGCTATGCACGTTTTGGAGTAGCGTGATAAGTCACTTTTTTTTTTAAAGAAACAGCCTGTTCAAACAATCGCTGTCAAAGATTCTGGGGTGTGGGAGGAGGGAACCTAGACCATCTTCTTTATAAATCAGTTCCTCACAGCCAGTTCCTCTTGTAGGATGAGTCCTTTGCATCTGATCAGAGTCATTTTTGTAATGAGCAGGTTTTCCTGGCTTTCTTTTCAAATAAAATGTTAAAAGCAGCAGTGTTTGGACAGCAGATTGTTCTGTTAAACTTTCCTATCTTCTCACTGTATCCAGAAATGCTCCTTCCTAGCAGCAGTAGTAGCTTTTCTCCATTTTGTTTTTTCTGCAACATTCTGTACAAAAATGTGCTGTAATTGTGCGTTAGGCCTGGATTTGGCATAAAAGATGAATTCCCTCTTACTCTCTTTCATGAAACTACTCTGTAGAGCTTTCTCCACGCCCTGTATCCCTCTTCACCTTTTGTATTTAATTTTAAAGTCAGTGTACTTCAAGAAAGCTGGATGCAAGATAGATACTATATTAAAATGTAATGTTATTTAAGATGTAATAAAGCAGTTTGACATGAGTTTTGACTGATCTGTTCTGCAGCTTATTGTTCAAACCACTAAACTGCTTCTGGCAGGATTTGAGTTATGAAATAAACATATGAGAGAAGTGTATGCTGCCCCAAAACAAATTGTTCAGTATTTTAAAATGGCTTGGATTTTTAATGTATACCATTGGGCAGAGTATGCAGTGTGTTAGAAAGTGTGTATTCATGTGAAGGGATGTGGGTTTCCTTTTAAAGCTAAAAACAGAGTTGCAAGATGAACTAAAACCCTCACGATTTTTGTTATTGGAAAGTGTTGTCAGCAGTATCTGAAAATGTATGTGTAAATGTGCAATATATGCTAACACTGAATGGCAAGTATGTGGAGCTTAGTGGCTGCAGGCATTTTGCTTCCTCCGTTCTTAATTATTTAAGATGGACATTTCTTGGTTTGATTGCTAGAGCCACTTGAGAGCTTAATCAAAAACTGCTGGTAGCTCTCTTAGCTCAAACTCCAAAGGAAAGTAGCTAGTATGATTCATGTGGTATGCATCACAAAAATGCTTTGTGGAATATAAAAGAGTGTAACACCTGAAGTAAGAAATCAGAGCAAAATGTTTAGTAACTTCTTTTAAAACTTTTGTGTCCTTTAATAGGAAAAGAATTGAGTGGAACACCATGTGTTATTGCCATTTGAGGATCTGGCCAAATAAGCTCTGTTGTCATTGTTAGCTGTCCTAACTGTAGGTATAAAGAAGGGTAAGTAGTTGTCATTTTAATGCTCAGTAAGAACAAAGTCTCCACAAGGCAGAATTATGTCTAGAAAAAGAGAAATGGATTTTATACCCACAGAAGCAAATTCCTGAAACAAGAGGTGTTGAAAGGCAATTGGTTTAACAACTTGGTACTGATCCACTTGAGGGTTTTGTTTTGTATTTTTTATGGGTAAAGTATCTTCTCTTGTTCTGACCTAAACAAAAGTGGATTTTCCCTCATTTCACATCAACCAAGAGAAATTCCAGTGCCATGGCTTGGTTTCATACCAAACATGGAAATTCTCAGCCTCAATGGAGAAGTTTTTAAAAGCTGTGAGTATGGAAAATATGATGGTGGCGTTACTTAACTAGCAGCCGTTAACTGTGAGCTTTGGGTTTTTAGACTGCAGAATACTGGTAAGTAGCTCATGGCTGGAAGTGCTTAAATTTGGGAATTCCAATTTAGTCTTTTCCAATTCCAAATGGTATAGCTGTTTTTTCCACTCATGTGGTATATTTTTATTCCAACGGATGTTTCATATGTGACTTTGTCTAGTCTATAATAAAATCGATGCAGACATGATCTGTCTTACTTTCCTTAATCTCTATCTATATGTTAAATTACTGCTTCCCGCCCATGTTGATAATGCCTTTGCTGGCAATAAAATACCTACTGAGATAGTAACTTCTTGTGTCAAGAGGCTAATGTGTAGTGTGATTTATTTGCAATGCAAACAGTTGCAAATGCCTCTTATTACAGACAGTGCTTCTGTTAAATATGAAACTTTAAACTATATTATTTAAAAGTCTGTCTGTCTTTGTATGCTTAGTTATTCAGAGAGCTGTAACTGAAGAAAAATCAGTATGCAAAGTGAGAAGCACTGAACTCTTGTGTCTTTGACTTTGGGCCAAGTCTTTGAGTTCTGAATGCCTTTAATTTTAGGGTGGGCTTGGATCAGTACCCAAATCAAAATGGCGTATGTAATCTTACCTATAGTAATCATAGTAACGTAGCCTCCTCCTGTAGGCTTTGAAAAGATTCTGATTTAAAGATAATTCTGGGATGTGGTTCCAAAAGAGCAGCTTCACCTAGCTGCTGGCAAATTTCTAGAGCAAGGTTTCATAAACTGAGAACAATAATATGTGAGAACCGTTTGTCTCTGCTTGGTCTTAGTGGCAGCGCTTGCAGTTTCTTACTCGTGGGCTCCTGAGTGTGTTATTAGATATATGAAGGGATGAGGAGTGGTGTCTTTGCAAAGGAGGATGGAGTAAAACTTTACATTTTTATGAAGCATGTTAGATGACGAAGGTGGACAAGACCAATGGATGTGAGGTATTTGGATAATGAGTGGGTGTGGAGGTGGGAAAAGGAGTTACAGTTGTCTGGTCCTGGCTTGGAAAGTGCGTTATGGTAACAGAATGGACTTCCATGGGATTGGAATCCTCTCATGGAGCTGGTGGGAAGGAGTCAAGTGAAAGAAGAGATAACAGATTTCTCTTAGCACCTAGAGTTAAGACTTTTAATCATAGTGTTTTCTGTGCCCCTCATGGCCTTTAACTTCTTAGTGAATTAAATGTGTTTTAAAAGAACTGAGATTCTACTGCTAATAGAAGAAAAGATCCAAGTTGGGCATTCTAAGTTTTGACCATTAAGTGCCCTGGAGTATATATTTTAAATCAGCTGTGAAACATACTTAAAATTACTGATTGAATCATGCCCTGTAAGAGCTAAAAATAGAATGATCTGGTTTCTGGGAAGTGGCAGAGTAAATAAGGGATAATAAAACCTGTCACCCTTGCTGAGTTGTGTGTAACTTGGTCTGAAACAAGTCAGGATCCTGTGTGGTATTATGATTAACACTGTTTTTAGTGTAGGTGTAACCATGAATTCAGCTTTGAGGGGAAAGAATAAAAGAACCGACTAATGAACAAGTTCTAACAGCAGTTGACTATTTTTGCATAGTGATGCTCTGTTTTTCTTCTCTTCATATAATCTTTAGAAAGTCTGCTTCTCCTTTAAACATCAGGCTACTCAATGGATCTGAATTGAATTGATCACTTTCTATCTATTACATTCCATTGTGTAATAATTATCCTAAAGTATGTGAAAAGTTGATTTTTTTTCTGGTTTAGGGTTGTATGAGAAAGGGAGGAAGAAGAGCTGGAGAAAGTTTGGAAAGAATAAACAATAGATTTCGGTTCCATTGTTCTAGAACAGGGATGCTTAGCCTATTCCCTTGTCACCCCTGGTCTGAATGTCCCTGTCACCTGAAAATTCTTTGTATGCTCAGTGATGGGAGCCTTGTATCCTGAATAGCAGCTGCTTGCATCCTGTCAGATGTGCTTTTTTCTGGCAGTGTTATTTGCTGATTCGAATATTATTACTTTGGTCCGGTGTACCTGATGAATTAAAAAATTCTTGTTCTGTCTCCTTCTGGTCTTTTCTTAAACGTTACTGGATGCTTTTTCTTTTCTTACTGTTCTTGTGAAACCTGATCTGCTGGTAAATCAAAATCCGTGGGCCTGCTCTATCTGTCACTTGGACTGGGAAAATGAAGGCCTTCATTCTGACATGGCTGGATGTTGTTGGCTTTGCTGCTTGTGTTAAACCATCTCTCCAGGAAACGCTGTTCAGACAATCTGCAGATCCTGTTTCCTGACAGAGGACGGTACATGACTGGCAGATTTCTGGCCTTCTGACCACAGGGCCCCATGTTTGGATCCGTGCTCTGCTGCCTGCTAGTTTGTAACCCGTGCGTATTTAAGAGTGTTGAAATGCAGACCAGGGAGAAGTTTCCTCATGTAGCACTTACTCTATGGGTTAAATCAAAGTGGAAGCAAGAAAGCTTGAGCTCACAATTCCCACGGCGATTCCTAAACTCTTGTCAAATATTGACAAATTGTGGGGTTCCAGAACACTTCCCCTTTGATAATCTGGGCCCATTCAAAGTATGTTCATTAAAGGAAGGCAAAGTTGAATCATTCTGAAACTGTCTACTTAGCTTTTTCTTCAAATGTCAATACTAAAAAGTCTCCAAGGAGTACTTTGAAAGTGTGTATGGGATAGTAACGCAGACTGTATTTGTAAAATTACCCAGTATGTCACATGGAAAACAGAAGCCATAGAAATGTGAATAAAAGCTGGGTGATCTTCTCACCGCTTAGAGAGCTGGCTGCTAAAAACTCACCCTTTAGAAACACAGGCCCTGCAAAATACTCATTCAAGTAATCCCA